ATTTAAAAGATAGCGGGAAGGGAAAAATGAAGAGGGGAAATCAGAGGGGGAGACGAACTATGAGAGACTATGGACTCTGAAAAACAAACTGAGGGTTCTAGAGGGGAGGGGCCTGGGGGGATGGGTTAGCCTGGTGATGGGTATTAAAGAGGGCACGTACTGAATGGAGCACTGGGTGTTATATGCAAACAATGAATCATGGAACACTACATCAAAAACTAATGATGTAATGGATGGTGATTAAAAAAACAAACTTTTTTTTGAGCACAGGAAAAATGAAAGTAGTTGTTAGATTAGGACAATGGTAATAGGTGATTTTCACCTGTTTTAAAATTTGTCTTTGTTCTTATATCAGCTTCTCAATTACAAAAGGAATAGAAGTCACAAATATTTATATCAATGAATCAGGATGTTGATTACTATAATTTTGCTGGTTAAACCATATGGTACAATGGAAAATTCTTAATGGCATGATGGCCTCTTTGGATGGTGAAATGGCAATATCCTATAAGTCAGTCTTGAACTAGCAATTTCAGTTCTAGAAAGCTGTCTTGTTAATGTACTGGCATGTGTGCCTAGAGGGATACATGCTCAGTGATAATCATTGTAGCATGGTTTGGAATGGTAGATGGTGGGAAACAAACCCAAGGTCCATCAAAACAAGACTGGTTAAATAAATTATGGTACATTTATAGAATGGGATAATATTCAGCTGCTGAAATTACGATGTAGTCTGGTTTCCGGTCCAACATATATGAAGTTTGGAAGTCACCACACCACCCTAACAAGTAAAAAGCTGAACAAATAAAAAAATTAGCAACTCTTCTTAGATCTCTCAGAGAAGTGAGGTTACAGAGCAATCCGCCGCCGCTAAATTTGGAGAGACCAACAGGGAATACAGAAAATCACAGCTTATTAGAGCAGAGCTGAAACCACTACAAGAACCAGTGCCAGGATAGAGAAACGAACTGTAATTGACAAATAGCCAGAGGCTCAGCATAGACAGGTCAGAGAGATGAAGACTCCAGGGAAACCTAGTCATAGTCTTCCTTCCCCCACTTTTGTGTTTTAATTCCAGGGAGCTTTAACAGGTCCGCACAGTGAGTATCAGAGAAAAAAAATCCTCCTATAATTCAGGCATGGGCAGGGGAAAAGTACCATTTTTAAATACATGAGAGCATTCTGTTCTTAACAAGATCTGCCCTCAGGAGAAACTGGCCAGAGCCTAACTGACCTGAGGGAAGAGAAATACCAGCCTCGGAAGGCTCTATATAGCCTTCTGTGTGGAGGAAGGGAAATAATCAATTCCAGCCCCTTCTAGTCTTGAACTTTTAAAACTACTCTTTAAAAATGTCTTTAAGAAAGTCAGTAGACTGTAGATATGTGGATATTTCTGGACTCTGAATTCTGTTCCATTGATCTTTATGTATATCTTTATGCCAGTAGAGTCTACAATTACCCTAGTTTTGTAGTAAGTTTTGAAAGTGGGAAATATCAGGTCTCCAAGTCTGCTCTTTTTTTGGAAAATTGTTTTGGTTATTCTGGGTTCCTTGTATTTCCATATGAATTTTAGTGTCAGCTGGCCAATTTCTGTAAGAATGCCAGTTGGGATTTTGATAGAGATTGCATTGAATATGTAGATCAATTTGGGGGTAAGATTTGGTCATCTTAACAACATTAAGTCTTACGTTTCTTGAACACAGAATGTGTTTCCATTTATTTAGGCCTTCTTTAATTTCTTTCATCAATGTTTTATAGTTTTCAGTTTATGCTATTGTATATAGAATTGTTTTCTGATTTCAGTTTCAAATTGTTTATTGCTAATATATACAAATACATTATTTCTATTTGTATATTGATCTTGTATCCTGCAACCTTGCTGAACTTGCGTATTACCTCTAATTGTTTCTTGTGATTCCTTAGGTTTTTCTTTATATGAGGTCATGTCATCTGCCAATAGAGATAGTTTTACTTCTTCCTTTGAAATACAGATGCCTTCCATTTCTTCTTCTTGCCATACTATCCAGCCTGGAATCTGCATGTCTTGTTAACTAGAAACGGTGAAAACAGACATTCTTGTGTTAATCCTGATCTTAGGGAGAAAGCTTTCAGTCTTTCACCATTGACTATGATGTTAGCTCTCTGTTTTCCATAGATGCACTTTATCAGGTTGAGGGAGTTCCCTTTTATTCCTAGTTTTATGGTGCTTTTTATCATGAATATGTGTTGGATTTTGTCAAATGCTTTTTCTATGTCTATGGAGATAATCTTTGGGTTTTTTTTTTCCCCTTATTAACATAGTGTCTTACATTACTTGATTTTCATATGTTGAACCAACTTTGTATTCCTGGCATAAATCCTACATAGTCATGGTGTATAATTTCTTTTGTGTGTTGCTAAATTCAGTTCACTATTATTTAGATGAGAATTTTAACATCTGTATTCATAAGAAATATTGGTTTGTAGTTTTCCTTTTTTGAGACATCGTTGTCTGGTTTTGTTGTTAGGGACTGGCCTCATAGAATGAGTTGAGGAATATTTCTTCCTTGCCTGTTTTTGGAAGAGTTTGTGAAGGACTGGTGTTAACTCTTTAAACCTCTGGTAGAATTAACCAGTGAAGCCTTCTGGTCCTGGACTTTTCTTTGTGGTAAATTTTTTGACCGCTAATTCAATTTCTTGCTACAAGTCTATTCAGATTTTCTCTTTCTTCTTGAGTCAGTTTTAGTAGTGTGTGTCTTTCTAAGAAATTGTCCAGTTCATCTAGGTTGTCTAATTTGTTGGCATACAGTTATTCATAGTATTCCTTTATAATATTTTTATATTTATCTTTATTTCTATTTTTATATCTATAAGATTGGTAACAAAGAAGTCACTTTGATTTCTGATTTTGATAAATTTTTTTTTTTTTCTTAGTCTAGCTAGAGGTATGTCAATCTGTTGATATTTTCAAAGAATCAATTTTTGGTTTTGTTGATTGTCACTATTGCTTTTTTCTTCTCTAATTTCTATTTTTAACTTTTTGAGGGACTAACATACTATTTTCCACAGTGGCTACACCAATTTACATTCCCACCAACAGTGCACAAGGGTTCCTTTTTCTCCACATCCTCGCCAACACTTGTTATTTCTTGTCTTTTTGATTCTAGCCATTCTGACAGGTATGAGGTGATAGCTCACTGTGGTTTTGATTTGCATTTTCCCTGATTATTAGTGATGTTGAGTATCTTTTCATGTGTCTGTTGGCCATCTATATGTCTTCTTTGGAAAAATGTCTGTTTAGGTCCTCTGCCCATTTAAAAAAAAATTTTTTTAAAGATATTATTTATTTGACAGGGAGACGCAGCGAGAGAGGGAACACAAGCAGGAGGAGTGGGAGAGGGAGAAGCAGGCTTCCCACTGAGCAGGGAGCCCAATGCAGGACTTGATCCCAGGACCCTGGGATCATGACCCGAGCCAAGGGCAGACACTCAATGACTGAGCCACCCAGGTGCCCCTCATCTGCCCATTTTCAATCAGATTATTTCATTTCTTGGTGTTGAATTGTAGAAGTTCTTTATATATTTTGGATATTAACCTCTTATCAGATATATCATTTGTAAATCATCTTCACCCATTCAGTAGGTTGCCTTTGTGTTTTATTGATGATTTCCTTCACTGTGCAAAAGCTTATTTTGGTATAGTCCCAACAGTTTACTTTTGCTTTTGTTTACCTTGCCTGAGGAGGCAGACATATCTAGAAAACTGTTGCTAAGGCTCATGGCAAAGAGATTACTGCCTGTGTTTTCTGGAAGTTTTATGGTTTCAGGGAGGGACAGTATATTTGAAGAGAAGCAAGACCTGGATTCTGTTTTAGTTGTGTGTGTAACATTATCTCTCTTACAGTTTGAGCCTCAGATTTTCCCATACACAGAAGAGAGGTGTGAATACATCTCCCCATCTATTCTGTAGGGCTCTGTGAACTAAAGGCTATTAGGTATGTAGAGGTGCTTTGGTCCCTTTAGAAGAAAAGTACTTAACTTCCTCAAGGCTTCATTATTGTTACTTCCAGTTCTATTTCCCATTGTGTGTCCTTGATCAAGCCACTGAACCAAGTGCTTCTGTTGCTCCACCCAACACCCCCCCTTTTTTTCCAGCCCCCTCTCTTTTTAAGGAAGAGACAATGCTCATTCTCCCCCATAGACATGACAGTAAATTTATTCTTATTTCCTTTTATTTTATTTTACTTATTTTATTTAAATTCAGTCAGTTAACATATAGTGTACCAGTTTCAGATGTAGAGTTCAGTAATTCATCAGTTGCATATAACATGACAATAAATTTAAATTGCTTTACATGTGTTTAAAATTACTTGAAGATGTTCAGGAAAAACTGCTGTTATTTACAGTTTGACTGGCAATTAGGATTATTTTGCACAAATGGAATATATTTTAATGTAACCCCGAATGTGATTATTTGAAGTTTTTTTTTTAATATTACACATAATACTAGAAATAGAGTTTTGAAACCTCCTAGAGTCCTTTGTATGTATCTCACCCTCCCTCCCTCTCTCTCTCTTCTTTTTTTGTCTAGTATCTCCCTAGCTCTATTAAATCCAAGCTTCTCTATGAAAAGTGGTTAGAACTCCCAGCTTTTTTTTTTTAATTGTGGTAAAATATACATAACATAAAATTTACTATTTTAGCCATGTTCAAGTGTACAATTCAGTGGCATTAAGTACTTTCACATAGTTGTGCAATGTGTGCATCTGTTTTTGAAAAATACAGATTCCATAGTTGCTGGATAATACTTGTTTTGTGAACCAATACTGTCATTAAAATTAACTAGTATGGACTGTACTGTTTTTCTGACTTATTTTGTGAAAGCTGTGAGTTTTATAAAATGAGGTCGGTGTTGATTTCAATAGTCACACTTCCTTTTCCTCATTTTATTTCTGAGAATGACCTAAACAACCTAATTGTTTATCCACAGGATGTTAACTCACATCTCTTTTGGTGTCGCAGGTTGCAAGGCAGGCAGGAATTAACTCGGGGACAGCCATGTCAAGAGGATTGTATCAACCAGCAACAATCTTTATGGGCTGCCAAATGTCAGCTGTCTCAAGCATTGGAGGTTTCAGTACAGAGCAGAAATCTCCCCAGCCCACAAAGAACTTTTCAATTCCTGACCCACATTCACACCGACAGACAGCCCAGAGCGGTAATGTGACAGACAGCTATGTAGTACAAACTAATAGTGCCACACAGCGCTTAAATAAGTCTGACAAAATAGATGGAAAGACATCTCTTCAGATTGGTGGGGAAACGCCAGTCACAGCCAGCTCATTGTCTGAGGAGGAACAAACTCATTGCTTGCAGATAGGAAGCAACACACGTCACGGTGAGAGTAGTTTATCTGAAGGCGAAAAGTCTGCTGAACTCCATTCCCTGTTACGGAAAAGATTAAGTCCAGAGAACAGAACCACTGATATAAAGTGTGACAGTTCCAGCAGATCAGAGGGATCAGAAGGAGAAATACTGACACAGGAACATATTGAAGTCAAGGAAGAAAGAGCCAGACCTCCAGTCTCCCGGGTATCAGTCTCAGAATACTGTGCATCTGAAAATAAGTGTTCTCAAGAGAAGGATTCTGCTTGGGAAGGTTTCTCAGGTGGGGCGAGAGGCTGAGATTGTTTGCTGATTTTTGTTGGTGTTCAGTTTTGGGGGTAGTAGCAGTCTTACTTAAGAACAACATACACTTTAATTTTATTTCTATCAAAACAAACCAGGGACTTGGCTATTCTAATGAATTCTTGACTATAGACAGGAAATATTTTTGCAAGCTTATTTGCTGATTTTAAAACCAACTGTGATATTTTTAATGATTTTTCACGTACTGTAATTAGTTGTGGATTGTTTCTACATGTTTTTAGCTGAGTAATTCTGCCTGTGAGGCAGAACGTGTTTACCTCGTTTCTCCCTGAAGTTAGTGATCGGAAATCTGTTCATATCCCCTCTTACAGATCATCTTCCTCCCAGGGACCCGGAGTCACAGAAACCCTTCAGAAAAATGCAGGAAGAGCAGGCGGAGGAAAGTTTGAGCAGCAGTAGCAGTGACCTCACAGTCTCTGTCAGTGAAGATGATCTCAGTTTCAAGAGTCCAGAACCACAGCCAAATCCGAGTGACAAGATGGAGGGAGAAGATGGAATAGAGGCCTTAAAATTAATCCACTCTGAGCAAGAAAGAGATGCCCTATCCACCGAAAAACATAATTATATTTTGCAAACCCTAAGCTCTCCTGATTCAAAAAAGGAATCCTCCACTAACTCACCAATAAGAGAGTAAGCCATTCAATTTTTTTTCTTTTTTTACTGTTCTGTTTTTAATTATAGACATTTTTAGAGACCCTTCCACTGGGAATGTATTATTGAACCCTCAGCCATGAATTCGTAAGTTCCTTAAGTCTCATACACAGTCTTTTGGATAAGGTCTAATTTTCTTTCTTTTCTTTTTTTTTTTTTTTTAATGAAATAGCTTTAAAAGTCTGAATATCATTGAATCATGGTGGATTGGCAGTTTATAATTATATCCAAACAATCCCTAGTTAATTCAGAAGTCATGCCCCCCCAAACCCTGCCTTCCAGCCTTTTAGAAAATAAATCATTTTGAAGTTCTGGTAACACAGAAAGTGACAAATAGTTAAACTTACTAGGAGTTCAGCTTTAGAGGCTAAGAACTTTGTATCTAATTAATTTGCTTAATCCCTCTATTCCTTGCCACGGTGTCTTACGGTTAAATATGAGTTTGTAAGTTCTGCTAAGAGTATTTCTTTAAATATTTTTATTTATTTGTCAGAGAGAGAGAGCACAAGCAGGGGGAGCAGTAGAGGGAGAGGGAGAAGCAGGGTCCTCACTGAGCAAGGAGCCCGATGTGGGACTCGATCCCAGGACCCCAGGATCATGACCTGAGCCGAAGGCACACGCTTAACGACTGAGCCACCCAGGTGTCCCTCTGCTAAGAGTATTTCTAAGTCAGCTTTCCTTTTCTGAATGTAACTATGAGGACACTGGAATCTTTAATGTTAAATAGGAACAACATTAGTGTTATACATTCTGAGCACTTATAATATCCACATCATAGGGGCACCCGGCTAGCTCAGTCGATTGAGAGTCTGACTTTTGGTTTCAGCTCAGGTCATGATCTTATGGGTCATTTGATAGAGCTGGCTTAGCATTGGGCTGTGTGCTCAGTGGGGAGTCTGCTTGAAAAATTCTTTCCCTCTGCCCCTCCCCCCACTCACGCACGCACTGTCTCTCTCTCTCTCTAAAATAAATAAATCTTTAAAAATATCCAACTCATAAAAGCTCATTTATGATTTTTTACTACTGACTTATATAGAGAGCATAGAAACTGTTAGAAAAGCAATTCTGCAATAAAAAATAGCATCACATCTCTTGTAGGGGTAGAAGGAACCTAAGATAGATCTCATCTTTTAAAAATGAGGAAACCAAGGCCAAGGACATAGGAGTGACATTTGAGCCATTGGGGCAGACCTTCTATACAGCCTGCCTCCCCAACCTCCACACTACCTCCAGAATTTTCTTTTATACTGCAATGGTGTCACTGTTTGTTTTCAACCATCTCAGCAACAGTGAAAAGCTAAGTGGGCATTCTTGTGTATCAGGGTATATATTCTCTTTTAGAGTACTTTGTCCTTTTCAATATATTGCTTTTTGCCATTCATAATCTACTTACGTGAAAAGTTTAATTATAGTCTGATTGACTCCAAGCTGGCATTCAAGAAATATTTATTAAGAGCACCCCCAAGTACAAAGTGCTTGCACTATGGATGGAAGAACTGACAAGTTTCCTGTCCTGGTTTATTGTGGAGGCAAGCCAAATGGATTTTTTTAGTCATAATACTTCTCTCCCATCAAAGAGGTACAGATATTACATACTATGTCATCAGAAACTTTATTACTAGAGATAAAATCATCTATTTTGGGTTTTGTATTCACAGGCTTCTTTTTAATAGCAATTTATTGGCCAAGTTAGTAACTTTGGTAGGCTAACCTGGGGGCTAGTGTACTTACTCAGGATTCAGTCTTTTTCTGAGATGAAAAACATTGGGTATATGTGTGGAATTAAGAGCATTCTATCTCCTTTTCTCCTATATGAATGTCTTTTTCCTATGACCTTAAAGCCAAGCTCCTTGGAATTTTGGGATATAGTTTTCCAAAATTTATTGGTGAATATGGGCATTTGGGGAATTTTTAAATATTTGCCTTAAAAGAATGCCCAGAATGAAAGGTCAGTCAGGATTGGCTGATGTCTGTGCTGTCAGATTTGAGCCTATTGATTTTTTTGTGGTGAAAGTACTCCCCACGAATAGGTTGGAAGTGGTTTTAAATGATGCTGGTTAACCTGCTGACATTCCCACTGCTTTTGAGGCCCTACTTTCTCTTATTTATTCTTTAGCATGAGCTACTCTTCTTTGCTCTGAGGCTTAATCATTAATCTGAGGCTATAATCATATTTACAGAGCTGACACTGTGACCTCAAAGGTTCATTATCTCAGTTTACTTTAGGGTCTTTTGGGGGCTTGGAGAAAAGTCATTTGAATGAATTTTAGTTAACAAGGATGAGGAGGTGGGACAAAGGCAGACACGTAGGAAAATACGAACAGAAAACTGGAACCTCTGATGATGACAGTTACTATGTTTTAGCACATCTTTGTGCCAGCTGAATTGCTGTGTTTGGACATAAAACTTGTCTTTAGCTTCCTGGCAATAAAGGTGAAAAGAGGAGTGCAGTATGCTGAATAGCTTCCATCTGAGAGGAAAAATGAAGCCAAGGATTATTTTGTGTTGTTTTGTTTTTGTTTGTTTTGTTTAGAAAAAAATTGAATGGCTTTTTTGAAATATAATTCACATACCATACAATCCACCCATTTGAAGTGTACAATTCAAGGGTTTGGGGTATATTATGTTACTGATTTGTAAAAATTGTGCTATAATATAAAAAAACATTTGAAAAGTACCATCTTAAGCATATAATTTAGTGACATTCACCATACTGTGCAGCCGTCACCACTGTCTATTTCCAAAAGTTGTTCCTCACCCCAAATATAAACTCCATAATCAATAAGCCGTAACTCTCCATTCTTTCCTCCTCCCAGTCTCTGATAACCTCTGATCTACTTTCTGTTTATGAATTTGTCTATTTAATGGTAGTTACACAATATTTAACCTTTTGTGTCTGGATTATTTCAGTTAGCATAAGATCTTTAAGGTTCATAACATGTTGTTGCAAATATCAGAACTTCATTCTATTTTATGGCTAAATAATATTCCAGTGTATGGCTATACCACATTTTGTATATCCATTCATCTGTTGATGGGTACTTGGGTTGCTTATACCTAAAAACCAAGTGTTTTTGAGAAGCTTCATGACCCAATCCCATGGATACTTCCAGACATTGAAAACCAGGCTGTGCTTCATGCACAATTCCTTCATCACAAGTTATAATTAACCCTTCTCACAAGAAAGCATACTAAAATGAAGCTAAGGAAAAAAAATCTTGTCAAAAAGGAGGACCTAGAATTTTGCTTTTCAAATAGTTTGCTGCAAATGTTGGTACAAAGCACCATGACTTAGAACACCAGACATTTATTACTTTTCATGTATTAGGTGGTTGGCCCAGTGTCAGTTGGGGCCACAGGGGTAATTTGGCCATGTGCCCCTCTTCATCCAGGAGACTAGTTCACCCTGTCACCTTGTGGTGGTGGTGGAGTTCCCAAGAGAGCAAGACTGCAAGTCCCAGAGCCCAGATGCTTTTAGTGTCTTGCCTGAGTCGCATTCGCTAGTGTGCTGTGGCTGAAGAAAGTCACAGGCCCCAGTCCAGCATCAACAGATGGAAAAGTGAAGAGGTCCATCTCTTGATAGGATAAGTGTCAGAGTCACATTACAAAGCGGGGGCAGGGGGGATACACAGGGAAGGGAAGTTTATGGTCACTTTTTGCAAGCCACCACAGTACTTTAGGACAAATTCAAATGAAGATAAGCTCAGTGTGAGTCCAAAGGGCAAGAAAGGTTTTGCACAGGTGTTGATGCAGCATCTTGAAGGCTGTCGAGGCTTCGATTCAGAAGGAGGTGGAAAGAGGTGAGTTAGGTCTGGAGGAAGAGGGCGGGAGGGCACGTAGATACAGAGCACACAGAGGGCAAGGGAGGACAGAGCAAAGGGTGTGACTGAGGCTCACTGAACAGGACTCCTTGAAGTAAAGGTTTAAAATGGTGCCTGAGGTGTGGCCGGGAACAGGCCTAGAATATCAGGTTAATGAATTTAGAGTTCATTTTCTACCTTTTGCACAACGCTGAAGGGTCGACCGCTGAAGGGTCGACCATATGGTGAGTGACTTCACTTAGGAGAATTAATCTGACATGATTAGTTTCATCAGAAAACTAATCATCCACAAGGTAGGCAGAATTCTGAGGTGGCTCCCAAGAGTCCTGCCTCCTGGCATGCATTCTGTATAATCCCTTTGCCTTGAGTGTGGGTGGGACTGTGCATCTGATGGATTTCCCTCCCATGATTAGTCTATGTTATATGACAGACATGAAGGATTTTGCAAATATGATAAAGTCCCAAATCAGTTGCTTTTGAGCTAATCAAAAGGGAATTATCCAGAGTGGGCCTGACCTAAGCAGATCAGCCTTTAAAAGGGCTTGGGTCTTTATGAAGTCAGAGATTCAAAGCAGCTGATATACTCTCCTATTTGCCTTGAAAAAGCAAACTGCCGTTGCAGAGAAGGCCACATGGCAGGAAATAGTTCATAGGAAATTCATTTGCCGACAACCAGTGAGCTTGGAGGAGACCCAGCATTAGACAAGATTGCGGACCTGGCCAGCACTTTGATTTCTGCATAGTGAGACTGAGCATAAGACTCCACTTGCCTAGGGGCGCTGGGTGGTTCATTTGGTTGAGCATCTACCTTTTGGTTTCGGCTCAGGTTTCAATCTCAGGGTGGTGAGATCCAGCCCTGTGTTGGACTCTGCGCTCAGGGGGAATCTGCTTGGGATTCTCTCTCTCTCTCTCTCTCTCTCTCTGCCCGTCCCCCTGCTTACACGCCCACACTCTCTCTCAAATAAATAAATCTCTTTTTAAAAAAAAAAACTCCACTACCCTAGACCCAGGCCTCTGACCAACAAGAATTGAGATAAGTTTGTGGTAGGTGCAGAATTTGTGGTAATTTGTTATGCAGCAATGGAAAATTAATATGATCCAATTGAAGAATTGGAATCAAGGATTGTATCTTTGCAAGGATTGTATGGGTAGAAGTCA